ACCAAAGCTTTATTTTCTCGTGAGCTTTTCTTTTTTCAATAATGTATTATTGGAATTTTTTAATTTTTTTTTACTTGATATTTTCATGTTTTGATCTCAGTTTGGGACCCTAACAGGTGCTACAGTGGTAAACCTGGGAACAACAGCAATTAAGAGGTGGTTCAAAACCTCCTGATCAGAGGACTTGCTACCAGATGTAGTTTATCATCAGACTCAGGATGATATCTCTTCAGATAATTTTTAAAGTTACTCCATTAGGCTTTGATATACTTAAGTAAAATTAAGCAATCACATTAATGTGCAGTTAGTAAAACATTTAGAAATCAGCGAGCTGAGCATCAATTCATTGCATTCACTTTTGCACAAATACCCTTGGGAAATGTATGAATGTGTCTCTTCACCTCCTGGCTATGGGTTAAATAAGAGAAGTGAGTGTCTTGAAGTGGTAACCCATCTGAAAAAAGGAAAATTGAATTCAAAACCAACCTGAAAAGGGTTAAGCTCCATCAGGTTATCTTGACCTAGACACACCATTGCTTCCATGGTTACAGTATTAGTCATACCTCAAAAGATCTAATTGGTTATGGGACTTGTGATGTGACATGTGACATATTTTGTATTTACATTATTCATAGTCAGTGTCATTTCTGTTGACATGCTAACAAAGATGAGGACATTAGTTTGACTCAGTTATGTGCCATGTGTGATACATGCTTAGGCAATCATGTATCTTTCAATACATGACTGACAAGGCAGATTTTTTTTTCCAGCAGTAGGCTGTGATTTCTTTCTGCGGTAGACTAGTTGCCATCCAAGGCTATAGAACCCAGTCTGTCCTGCTATTTACCCATAGCTAGGGTAAAAATCAATTAGTCAGTTATGTGCCATGCGGGATACACGCTTAGGTGATCATGTATCTTTTGATACATGACTGACAAGGCAGATTTTTTTTCCTGCAGTAGGTTGCCATTTCTTTCTGCGGTAGACTAGTTGCTATCAAAGGCTATAGAACACAGTCTGTCCTGCTATTTACCCATAGCTAGTGGAAAAAGAAGATGATTCATACCTTTCCCAAGGGTATTAGCACGTAAGTGGATATAAGGGATTCGACTGGAATGGCTCTCCAATTCCTCAATCTGAGCTGCTATCCATTACGCTACCATAAATAATATAAATAATGATAACTCCTTGTCACAAAAAGTAAACCATAAATGGTTCTTTATTTTTTTTCACCTTTCAGATATCTTGTCTTCTAGTCCTAGACAAAGGAATGCCAAGAACCTGTTTCCTGTAGATTAAGTAAAGTGTCCTGTTTAAAATTTGCTGAAGGTTACCCAGATTGGCAGACACCTGAAAAAGGCCGAAGGGCAAAATGGCTGAAACATGTGAGGACATAAGTCTGACTGTAAATAAGATAAATGATGTTCATTTCATATCCCAGACATCTGGGCAGAATTCACAGACAGCATTAACAAGATAGATAGATAGATAGATAGATAGATAGATAAACAACAAAGCTGAGGATATTAGCTTGAAAGTAAATAATGTATGCAATAACTTCTCATCCCATTAACACAAGTAAAAATATAGTCAGCATTAACAAAGTCAGTTGATAGATAGATAGATAGATAGATAGATAGATAGATAGATAGATAATAAACAACAAAGCTGAGGATATTAGCTTGAAAGTAAATAATGTATACAATAACTCCTCATCCCAGCAACACAGGCAGAAATCATATAGTCAGCATTAACAAAGTCAGTTGATAGATAGATAGATAGATAGATAGATAGATAGATAGATAGATAGATAGATAACAACAAAGATGAGGATATTAGCTTGAAAGTAAATAATGTATGCAATGGTAACTCTTCATTCCAGCAACACAGGCAGAAATCACATAGTCAGCATTTACAAAGTCTGTCGATAGATAGATAGATAGATAGATAACATTATTCTGACTATTTATAATATAGATAAGGATAACTCCTCCATCAAGAAATTCAAACAGAAATTAGTTTTAAATAATAAAATTCTAATTTTCTCTTGATAAGTATTCATTTGGCACCAGTTAAATACATCAGAATTTGTTTGTTCTTTATGGCTAGGAGTTTTCATTCTTACAAGTAGGTTTAGATTTCCACAAATTCCTCCAAAACTTGGGCTGGATATTTCCCCCTAACAAAACTGCTAAAACAAAACATTAAAACACAACTTTGAAACAAAAGAGAAGTTTTTATTAATTCATATAACTTGTATTATGATTTTTATTGTAGTGAGCTTGCTTAGTGGACTGCCAATTAATAATTGGATTAATTGTTATTGTGGCCCATTGTCAAATGTTATGAGGTAGATATTAATTAAGGCAATAAAGGTTCAACAAAATTGTATTCTTTCTTTTGGAGAATCATGCAGAGTCACCAAAAACAATATGGCTCCCATAACAATATGGTTGCTTTATATAGATATTTACTTATCTTAGCTTAGTTTGGCATAAGGCTACAATGGTAGGTCATCAGGTAAGTATCAAGTAAATATGAGAAGAGTTTGCTAATCATCATGCTGTAGTAGGGGCATATATGGATGTGATTATGATTTTTTTTCTCTGCATTCCTGCTGGAATTCATTGTTGTTGGCTTTTGTGTACTGAGATGAAATGCTGATGGCTAAGAACAATGAATTTTTGGCTACCAGAATTTCATTGAACTATAAACAGCTTTCCCACAGAATATTGTACAATCAGATCTTTACACTGACAAAATGACATATTTGCAGTACTTATTAGCTTTTTGATTAGGTAAATCTGTTACTAATTTGGGAGTGGAAACATTCATTAGTCCCTCCCAACCCCCCCAAAAAACTCTTTTTTTTAATCCAGTTGTTATCTGGAATAATTATATAAATATCAGAACAACTTCTTCTATGTGCCATGTCCCTTCAGGACGTTGGTGATCATGGCTCTCCACAATTTCCTTGTAGATCTTAATAAATTTTATCTTTTTGCTTTCTCTCTTAAACCCTGCTCAGCCTTCAGTTCATTCAAGCTTGCCAGGTAGGTCAATGTGTTGTCTTCCTCTGTCCCTCTTGCCTTCAATCTGTCCTGTGAGTATCAAATTTTCCAAGCCCTCTACAATTTTATGTCCTTTGTAGCTCTTAATAAAATTTGTCTTTTGTTCCGCCATCCATTTACTCAATCTCGCTAGGTAGGTTATGCGTTGGTTTCCTCTGTCCCTCTTGCCTTCAATCTGTCCTGTGAGTATCAAATTTTCCAAGCCCTCTTTCCTTATTATGCATTCTAGAAATTTCAACTACCTTTTCCTGATATTAAGTATAAGTGTCCTTTATGTGGGGAAAATTGTGAAAATGGCCTACCTCGAAACGCGTTCGAATCTGGGCGCAGTATGTAAACACTGGTCCTTCCAACTGTAAAAAGAAAACCAAAATGGCGGCGCCCGCGTTTTATGCCGAGTAGTCTCGGTCAGTTAACGCCCCAAATCGTGGTCGGTCCGTTCAGGCTTTTCTGCTGTTTAAAACATTTTCTCGAGAAGGTTGGACGTCAACTACGGTTTTCTTTTGCCTGATATTATCATTGAATTGTTGAGTTACACTTTATTTTTATTTTTCTTATCTCTAGTATTTTGTCATTGAACAGATGTTCAGTCCATGGCATTCCCAGCATCCTTCTGTAGAGCCACATTTCTATTGCTTCAAGTCTCTTCTTCATCTGTGAGGAGATTGTCCAGCAGTCACTGACATATAGGAGGAGTGATATTATGTAACAGTTCAGTATGCTTTTCTTTTTTTCTAATGAATTTTTGTTTCTTAATACTTAGCTTTTGGAAGGTGTATTTTGCTATCCCCAATTCACCTTTGGATTTCATTGTCACACTTTACATCGTCTGTTACAGGTGCTTCCCAGATATTTAAATTTTTGTATTTGTTTGATTTCGGTATCTCCAATTTGTAATGTGCATGTTATTCTTATATCAATAAAAACAAAACCTTTCTTCACACTTCATGCAGATATATCCAAAACATCGGTTGTCTGCGTACAGGCTTCAAATTAAACTAAAATTACTTATAGCCAAGGCAAAACCAACACTAAAAAAAAAAAACAAAATGATTTTCACTGAGAGGGCACACAAATTATTTCCAAGGCCTAGATGCTTGCTCAGTGGCTTTCTTTTGTATGTACGTTGTTTTGGTAAAGCAAAGAATTGCATCTCTAGGTAAGAAGCCATAGCAGACGACCTGGCTCATATGTACATACATGCTCCAGGATTTATTTTTAACCAGCAACATTCAAGGCTCTGAGTGGCTTGTAAAGAAAGAAATGAAAAGGGGAAAGTCAAGAGCTTAATGAATTAAGAAAAAAAAAATGATCGCTAAAAATGGAGAGATTTTGATTTTAACACAGCTAATAATAGACAGGTAATAGGTTTACAGATGAGATAATGGAAGTTAAAATAAGGAAAGAGAGAAAATAGTTATGGGAGAGCAGATGATAGAAAGAAAGAAGAAGAAAAAAGTGAGGGGGAGAAAATGAAAGTAAAGAAAATGGAAAAGAAAAAATAAAGAAGGAGAAAAGAAAGAAAGAAAGAAAGAAAGAAAGAAAGAGAACAGAAGTATAAAAATAAAGATGGAGAAAAAATAAAAAGTGAAGGAGAAAAAATAAAGTCGAAGAAAAATGAAGGAGAAAAAATAAACAGAAATAAAGAATGATAAACAATAGAAAAAGAAAAAGAAGGAAAGAAGAAGAATAAAAAGAGCAACAATAGAAAAAGGAAAAATTAAAGTATAAAAATAAAGAAAGAAAAAATAAATAAAAAATAAAGGAGAAACAATAAAGAAAAAAATAAGAAACTATAAGGAAAGAAGTAGAAAAATAAAAAAGGAAAAAGAAAGAAAGAGGAAAATATAGAAAGAAGGAGAAAAAGAAAAAGAAAAAAAGCAAAGAGAAAAATAAAGAAGTAGAAAAATGAAGGAGAAAAATAAAGAATTAGAAAAATGAAGGAGAAAAATTAAGAATTAGAAAAATGAAGGAGAAAAATAAAGAATTAGAAAAATGAAGGAGAAAAATAAAGAATGAAAAAGTAAAGAAGCAGAAATGAAGAATGAGAAACAATAAAGAAAGAAAAAAATAAGAAAGGAGGAGATAAATACTAAAGAAGTATGAAAATATAGAAAGAGAAGAAATAAAGAAAAAAGAAAGAAGGAGAAACAATAATGAAAAAGGAGAAACTACAAAAAAAGTAAAAAATGAAGGAGGAGAAAAAGAAAGAAAGAAAGAAGAAGAAAAAGAAGTGGAAAAATAAAGAAGAAAAATAAAGAAGTAGAAAAATGAAGGAGAAAAATCTAGAAAGAAGAAAGATAAAGAAACAGGAATAAAGAATAAAGGAGAAAGAATAAAGAAAAAGAAATAATGAAATAAGAGAATAAAGAAAAAGATGAGAGTCATGTTAGAAAAGTGAAGAGAAAGAAAAGACAGTGAAAAAGTGAAATGGGACTTCAATATCGACCAACGAAAAATCAAGTATGGAATATATTTCTTCCATTTTTTTTTTCCCCACTTTTATCTTTTGTTCACCTTAAATATGAACAAAAGTTTCCATGGATGCTTTTATTTCACTAAAATAAAGCAATTTATATTGGAACTTTATTTTCTCTGAAATTATTCTTTGGTTCATGCCATTTTTATTTTCATTTTTATTCATTTGCATTCTTGCAAGCTTTCATTTTTGCAGGACTTTTATTACTATTCTTGTATGCTTTCATCAGTCATTTTCAAATGGTATCGTTATGTAAGAGTCCTGTTCTTTATATTGCCTTTACTGATGTTTCGTTTTCAAGACTCACTGTCAATATTTTTGAACACATAACATCTCCTATGCATCCATTTTTAACTAAAGAAGATAAATTTACCCAAACATTGCAATATATTCATAAACATGCTGGTGATATGGTAACACTTTGTTCATGGATAAAAACTGAAAGGAACATGCATACATGTTTTGAAGAATCACCTTATGTCTGAATTTCTGTGATCAGGAGTTATCATTATTTCCATTAGTTACACTTGGATTAATGTCCTCATATTTATTGTCAACTATATATCTATCTATCCATATTTATTCATATTTATCTATCTTTTATAATTCATATCTATTTATCTAGCTATCTATCCTTTTTATTCATACCTATCTATCCTTTTTATTCATATTTATGTATCTTTTTATTTATATCTATCCTTTTTATTCATATTTATGTATCTTTTTATTTATATCTATCCTTTTTATTCATATCCATCTTTTTTATTCATACCTATCTATCCTTTTTATTCATACCTATCTATCCTTTTTATTCATACCTATCTTTTTTATTAATATCTATCATTTTTTTATTCAGACCTTATCTATCCTTTTATTTTATCTATCTGTCTATTTCTCTATCCTTTTTTATTTTCTCTCTCTCTCTATCTCTATATATATATATATATATATATATATATATATAAACTGATTTTGTTAATGCTATGTGATTTCTGTTTGAATTTTGAATTTTTGTTCACATTATTTACATGCAGCCTATTGTCCTTTTCTTTGTTGTTCTCACCATAAAGTTTCAGTGGTTGTGCCCTTTACACTTCATCAGAAGCTTATCAATCTGGGTAACCTTCAGGGAATTTTGAACTGAACCCTTTATTTAATCTACAGAAGTAGATTTCTCTCATTCCACCTCCCATATCTCAGGATATCTCATCTCAGGAAGATTAGGTTTAAATCACTAAGAATTCTCCCATGGGAAAATATCCAAATGGATTAAAACATTGGTTCATGAATTTTAGTCACATCTGAGTTCAATCCCTGGGTTGGTCAGTGCAGATGTGGCAAGCAATAATTGAGCAGGGATAAATATTGGGTGAACATTTTGTAAAAGAAACAAAAGCTTCATTCAGGCATTTTCTGGAGCCCTATATATATATATATATATATATATATATATATATATGTGTGTGTGTGTGTGTGTGTGTGTATATATATATATATATATATATATATATATATATACACACACACAAATATATTGGTTACATAAACATAACATTATCACATCTGTGGGCACCTCAACATGGTGTAATGATTAGCAAGCTTTTCTTGCTAGAAAAATTATGACTGAGTTGTGAGTTTGATCCTCGCTGGGTGCCCCATACTTTCGGCCTTGTGCCACATCTAAGATACGCTTAGAAAATTACCATAACATTATCATATCTACTAACTAGCACCATTCGTGGCTCATCGACATGTCCTTCTGTGAGAAATGAGTTTTGGGGGCTCTCTTTGTCTTTTCTATTTGCCTTTTGGTGTTTTCGAAAGACATTGGAGAAGAGGACATGAGACGAAGAAAAGTCTTTGAGTAGGAAAGCCTTAGATACAAATTTGAGGTAGTATATAGTTTGACACTCCAAACCACACACACTTCAGCTGACAACATACACTATGACAAATCTAGGCTTGACAGCCAGGTTCATGATGACAGCTTACATCATACTGATGACTAGTTCCCGACGGATAAGAGGTCAAGGCGACATTATATAATCATACTTATTATAAAACCCAGGTTGTGTGTCTGTTCGTTTATATATTGGATCAGATTTCCTACTTTTTCAACTGATTTCAACAAAACTTCACAGGACTACATAAAATTACCTTGCGGTAGTTCTGACAGCGCCAAAAATTGGAAAAACACAATTGTTTTTGCATGAAATCAATTTGAAAACACGATTAAGAGGCATCAGTGTCACGAGAATGAAAGCGGGACAACTCATATCGAGTTATACTTATTATAAAAACCCAGGTTGTTTGTGTGTGTGTGTTCATTTATATATGGGATCGGATTTCCTACATTTTTCAACCGATTTCAATAAAACTTCACTTTTTTTTTGGCATGTAGTGTTTCTTATTGTCTTGCACACTTTTTTATTCATTTTTACATTCAGAATGCTTTAAAAACTCCATTTACAAAACAATTGTTTATAATAAAATTCTATTTAATCAGTAGATTCATAACGATTGAAAACAATGTTTTTGTTCAAGTTTGGGTTTGACCAATTTGTAAAAAAAAAAAAAAATACAAAACAAAAAAAAACTAATTAAGACATGCGTGTCCGTCAACGTTAAACAATAATCTTTGTCAATTTTATTTTTCAGTCTTTATGATGGTCGATACTTGATCTATCTCTTACTGTTACATCCCCGGGCAACGCCGGTCTCTACTGCTAGTTATATATATATATATGTGTGTGTTTGTGATAAAGCATTCTAGTCATCAGAAGATCACAAGAGGATGAAAATCAAGTAATGATTCAGGCTGTCCTTTGTTAAGTGTTGACATTGTTAAGTGCTTTTGGCTCTGTTCTAGATAATCTGGGCATTGAGCACTTTATGCTACGGATTTAGTAGATGTTTGCCTTTCGGTCTTTCTTTGTTTTTTTTTTCTTGTTCAGGATTTTTTCTTGTCTAAGGTCTTCTGGAAAAGTGTCTGTTGGTCATACTAGCATAACTGTTTTTTCTTTAGTATATATATTTTTCCTTTAATAAGATTTCTCAAATGTTCAGGCTGGTAGATGAAATAAAACACTGTTTAAAAAATAAACAACATCTACTCAAATATGGGTATCCAATAAAAAAAAAACATTTAAAGTAATAAAAATATGTTAAATTAATAAATAAAAATCCATTACTCCTTTAGAAATATACATATACTAGCTGAATTACCCACACCTTGCTAGATGTTACATATTTTTTGTAAGAAAATGATGATTGATTTTAAATCATTGTTATAATTTGTGGAGAAAAATATTCAATATTACTCAATGCCGATGTGACCTCCATCTTGTGGATTTCTATATTTTGGATAGGAGTCATTTCCTTGTTCAAATTTAAATTTAATTTAAATCAAAAGGAAAAAATTTTCATGGGTGTGTGTGTGTGTGTGTGTGTGTGCAAAACCAGCTTGATCTAAAACCTTTGATATGTATTTGATGCAATACTTGATTGAATGAATTGATAAGCAGATTTCAACATTGACATGAGAGTTGAATTGTCACATCAAATCCATATTGTCAGGCATTACCCACTGATTGGTGATTTCTTGCTCAACTTGACGTCCACATTGTCTCATTTTGATCTTGTTGATGTGACCTCCATCAATTGGATTTCTCCTATATTTTGGACAGGAATCATTCCCTTGTTCAAATTTAAATTTAATTGAAATCAAAGGAAAAAAAATTTCAGTGGGAGGGTGCCCTCGCAGGGACCCCTTTGATCAATGTGAAATATACTTATCCAAGTATCCTGGGTAATGTAGTTTCAGAATATATATGGTTATGGGGGTATCTCTAAAACCCTAGGGAGAGTTTGATAACAAACAAACAGATAGAGGCTACGCCTTTATATATCGATTTAATAATTTTAGATTAGATGTGGCACAAGTATAAAAGTATTACACCATGTCAAAGTGCCATGTCAGATATATATATGTGCGATCGTCAGACAAACTCTGATTATATATATATATATATATATATATATAATATAAAAGGCCCAAAATCAGAAAATATAACTCCAGATATAAAAAACAAAATTTTAGTGATTTCTTTTTGAATTTGTAGGTCTGATGAATTGGATCATGATTGCGATTCCAATGTAATAAATTATAACGATGGAATATTAGTGTTTGAATCTTTTATATTATGTTCTTGCTCTCTACCTAAATTCTATCTTCTTGGAAATATATATATATTGGCTCCTGAAATATCAATTTCAGTTGAGCTCTCTGGGGACGAGGTGTGGGTTGGTAAACAGTGACTATTATAGCTATATAGCGAGACTCTTCGCAGATGCGAATTGACTCACTGTCGGTCACTGGGCGTGTTTCTAAAAATAAATACGCTAAAAATCCACTTTCATCCCTACCGTGCACCAACGGCTTAATGGTTAGAATCTCCGACTGACACTAATTCAGACGGGTTTCAATCTTAGCTAGAGGCAACCGGATGTCTAGCCACACTGATGAGCTGTGAAGCAGCGAAACAGTCTGTCTGTGGATGACGTTATATATATATATATATATATATATATATATATATATATATATATATATATATTGACCAATATTATCTATATATCTTTCTCTCTCTCTCTCTCTCTCTATATATATATATATATATATATATGTTCTTAACCTTCATCAAGGATGTGTGCTCAGTGTAGCAGTTATTACCACAAAAATTGGGCCTGGGTCTCTGAGTTCAAATTTCAGCTGAGGGTGTGTTGCTTGCTTATACACAAATATCCTTGGAAAGGTATGAATCCAATTTTTGTTATCCTCCAGGGGTTAATAGCAAGGAAGACTGGGTTCTCTAGTTTTGGCTTCATTGCCTGTATCTCTCATGAACAA